TGAACTGAGTAGTAGCTGGAGCTCTCCTTTCTTGACAATGCAAAACTGGATGGGCCTCAAAAATTCTGTATTGATTGTGACAAAGGCACTCCAGTAAACAAGCAGACTCATAGCCTATTCCATTGAATGAATTGGATACACATGATCTGTCAACAAAGATGATTTGCTAAAAAGGATATTGGCAAGTTTTATTGACTGGTAACACAAAATAAATTTCTGCTTTTGTAACTTTGGGTTGAATTTATCAATGCAAACTCATGCTTTGGAAATGAAAAATGCACCAGCACCTTCCCAATAACTAACAAAATCTATATTAAGACTATATAACTGTGTTGTCTACATTGACAACTTGGTTGTGTCCAGCTAAAGCTGGAAAGAACATTTACACCACTGGATTGTTTGGTTACAAAGACCTAATTGTTTGGTTATAAAGACCTAATTTGCTTATACATTTTGCTAAAAATGAAAGTGCCAAAGTGACTTAATTGGGCCACACTATGGGTCTAGGCCAAGCAGCACCTAGAGAAGTGAAAATAAGAGTTAATTTGGATTTCAGATGCTTAAGATGAAATGTGACATATTAGCATGAGTGGATTTTGTTGGAAGTTTGTTCCAAACTTCAGCACTCTGGTGGGTCCATTGATAAATTTATTGAAAAAGGCAAGAAATTTTAATGGACCACAGGTGAAGCAAGTGTTTAAGGCTATTAGCTTTGTTTTTGGTTTGAAAGATTCCAGGATTGAGCACATTCTTACAAAATAGGGGACATAATCTCAGGATAAATGGCAAACTATTTAAGACTCAGATGAGGAGCAATTTCTTCACGCAGAGACTGGTGAATCTTCAGCATTTTCTACCCGTTGGGCAGTGGAAGTTCAACATTGTGCAGCTCAGAGCAGAAATCAACAGGTTTTTGAAGACTAATGACATGAAGGAATGTGGGAAAATGACATTGAGAAGATGATCAGTCACGATCAAGAATGACAGTGCTGTCTCGATGAGCAGGACGGCCTACTCTTATTCCTGTGTTCCTAATATATCTACATTGAGACATTTGAGCAGCAGTGCCAAGGAACATCGTCATCTTCATGTCACCATCCAAGTTACAGGCCTTCATAACTTGGACAAATTCATTGAATCAAATTCCAAGATTTTCTACCTAATAACATCATGGAAATCACAGTTCGAAGAGCTGTGATGAATTAAGAAAAATCTCCACAACAAGCTTCTCAGGGCTTTGACTGTATTTCAAGCACAAAGCATTTTTAAAAGTAACTAGGGTGAATTTTCTTTGAACCTGTGTGTAATGCAACATCATACTTAATCTTCCTCCATGATTTTTCTGTCTCTGCATCTAACGGGGGTGCAGAAATGTAACTTCCATGCAAATAAATATCAAAAGTACCTGCACTTAATCTATTGATCAGGTGTAAAATTGATTGCATAAAAACCTGGTGTTATTTTTTCCTTTTCTGACATTAAAATGCCTAAAGACAGAATGCTAGAATAAAGTAAGAGATGCACAATTGAAAATTGTTTTTCAAGTCAATTGTTGCATTTGAAAGCAGTTATAAAGTCTAAAGTAATTACCCTAATATTAGGGAATCTGTTTATTCTCCAGTTTTCCAGTGAGAAAAGGATATTATACAGTAAGTCCTCAATTAAAGTTGACCCGCTGAATATCAATTTGCTTTAACTTCATTAATAAAGTAATGATAATAAATCCATTTAATGTCAGTTTCACTTAAGTATCGTTTTTCACAGACTTCCTCTTCAGTGGATTTAATTCTCATCTGACCTTTCTCCCAGCACTCAGCTTTGTCCCTCAGCCTGCCATCTTCCCCAGCACCTGTCCTGGTTCTCAATATTTCCTCACAGCAGTTATGCATGTCCTGGGCATCAGCTCCATCCCATGACATGCTGCCTCGCCAGCTCAGATGCTGAGTCCACATTCAAACTGACATACTTGTCTCCAGCTAGTTTCGGAAGTCGGTCAGTTCGAGGAGTCCCTGAACTGACTAATGTCTGCCACTAGATGGAGCCTGGTCACTAACAGTACTGTTCAATAAAAGTGATACATTTTAAAAATATTGTGTTTTACACATTTTATACTTAGTTATGCATTTTGTTGTATTAGCTACTTCAACTAATATTGCACATGTAAAATACAGTATTTCAGCCATTGCTATTTTTTCTGGGCAAGAAATGTCTGAAGAGCTAACTTGAAGTTTGTTACTGACTCCCATTGGAAACCATGATTCACTTAAAGTTGTTTGAATTGAAGTTGTAATTTTCAGGAATGCAACCAAAAATTTAAGTGAGAATGTATTGTTTGGAATACGATAACATTTAGAATGCTTGGAAGATTGATTTAGGTGAAGAAATAGAGTCAGATATCCAAGTTTGTTAACAAGCAAGGTTGCATGGTAAATAACATAGCTCAGAACAAAACAGAGTGAGTAATTAGCTCAACACAGTGTGGTGCTAGAGGAATGCAGCAGGCCAGACAGCGTCAGAGCAGAAAAGTTGATGTTTCGGGTCGGGACCCTTCTTCAGAACTGGGATGGGGGAAGGGAGCTTGGAAATAAATAGAAAGAGGAGGGGTGGGGCTGGGGAAGGTAGGTGGATGGTGATATGTGAATGCAGGTAGGGAGTGGTGGGGCTTGGTCAGTGGGGTGGGGCGGATAGGCGGGAGAGAAGATGGATAGGTTGTGTTGGGTCAAGGAGGTGGGAGAGAGAATGGGTGGGGCTGGGGAAAGGTAGGTGGGGCGGTGGTAGATTGGATGCAGGTAGGGAGTGGTGGGCATTGTTTGGCGGGAAGGATAGGGCGGAGAGGTAGGAAAGAAGATGGACAGGTTGTGTCAGGTTAAGGAGGCGGGGATGAGAGGCAGGGTTGGACATGGGATGAGGCCGGGTGTGGGGATATTTTTAAAACTGGTGAATTCTATGTTAAGGCCATCGGGCTGTAGGTCCCGAGGTGGAATATGAGGTGTTGCTCCTCCAGTGTGCGTGTGGTGTCATTGTGGTACTGGAGGAGGCCCAGGATGGAGATGTCACCCAGGGAGTGGGAGGGAGAGTTAAAACGGTTGGCGACCGGAAGGTGTTGTTATTTGTCACGTACAGAGAGCAGATGTTCTACGAAACGGTTCCCAAGTCTACGCTCAGTCTCACCGATGTAGAGGAGGCCACATCGGGAGCAATGGATACAGTAGACCAAGTTGGAGAATGTACAGGTGAACCCCTGTCGGATATGAAAGTTTGCATTGGACCTTGGATGGAGGTGAGGGGGTAGGTGTAGGGGCAGATGTAGCACCTCCTGCGGTTGCAGAGAAAGGTGCCGGGTATGGTGCATTAATGGGGAGTGTGGAGCAGATGAGGGAGTTGCACAGTGAGCCATCTCTACGAAAGGCAGACAGAGGTGGGGAGGAAAATATCTCTTTGGTCGTGGGGTCGAGTTGTAGGTGGCAGACGTGGCAGAGAATGATACACTGGATGTGGAGGTCGGTGGTGTGGTGTGTGAGGACCAGGGGGATTCTGTCTTTACTTTTGTTGGGGGGAGGGGTTTGAGGGCAGAAGTGTAGAAAATGCAAGAGATGCGGTTGAGGATATTTTTTGATACAGGAGGGGGAAGTTGCGGTCCTTGAAATAGAAGGACATCTGGGATTTGCGGGAGTGGAATGCTCCATCTTGGGAGCAGATGTGGCGGAGGCGGAGGAATTGGGAGTAAGGGAGCGCATTCTTGCACGAGGGTGGATGAGAGGATGTGTAGTCCAGGTAGCTCTGGGCGTCTGTGGGCTTGAAATAGCTGTCGGTGTTGAGGCGGTCACCAGAGATGGGGACGAAGAGGTCCAGGAAGGGGGAGGGAGGTATCAGGGATGGTCCAGGTGAGTTTGAGATGGGGGTGAAAAGTGTTAGTAAAGTTCATCAACTGTTCAAGTTCATTACGAGGCAGCATCAATATAGTAATCAATGTAGTGGAGGAAAATGTGGGGGATGGTGCCAGTCTAACAGCGGAAAAGGGACTGTTCCACATATCCTACGAAGAGGCAGGCACAGCTTGGACCCATGAGGGTACCCATGGCAACCCCCTTAGTCTGTAGGAAGTGGGAGGAGTTAAAGGAGAAGTTGTTAAGGGTAAGTACAAGTTCTGTTAAGTGGACGAGGGTGTCGGTGGAGGGGGACTGGTTGGACCTGCGGGAGAGGGAGAAGTGGAGGGCTTTTAGGCCATCTGCATGGGGGATACAAGTGTAGAGGGATTGAATGTCTAAAGTGAAGATGAGGTGTGGACGGCCTGAGAATTGGAAGTCTTGGAGGAAGTGGAGGGCGTGGGTGATGTCCTGGACATAGGCTGGACCAGGGAGAAAAGACAGAGTCAAGGTAAGTGGAGATGAGTCCAGTTGGGCAGAAGCAGGCAGAGACAGTGGGTTGGCTGGGGCAGTCAGGTTTATGGATTTTGGGAAGCAGATAGAAATGGGTGGTGCGGGGTTGGAGAACGATGAGATTGGATGCTGTGGGTAGTCACTTGATGTGATGAGGTTACGAATGCTCTGAGAGACGATGGTTTGGTGGTCAGGCGTGGGCTCATGATCGAAGGGGCAGTAGCAAGAGGTGTTAGAGAGTTGGCGTCTGGTCTCGGCGATGTAAATGTCAGTGCGCCATACCACTACTGTGCCCCCCCCTTATCTGCGGGTTTGATGGTGAGGTTAGGGTTGGTGTGGAGGGCTGCACATTCCGTAGGGGAGAGGTTGGAGTGAGTGAGAGGGATGGAGAGGTTGAGGTGATCGATGTCGCGACAGCAGTTGGAAATGAAGAGGTCGAGGGAGGGTAGGAGGCCGTGGGGTGGTGTCCAGGAGGATGGGGTTTGTTGGGGGCAGGAGATGGGCTCAACAGAGGTTGGGTTAGTCTCCTGGTCAAAGAAATAGGCACGAGGCAGAGGTGGCAGAAGAAGAATTTGACATCCAAATGTGAACGGAATTCATTGATGTGTCGGCACAGGGGGAATGAAGGTGAGTCCTTTAATGAGGACTGACCATTCATCCTCAGTGAGGGGGAGGTCTTGGGGGGATGGTGCAGACCTGGCAGGGCTTGGGGCTGGTGTTGGGTGTAGAGCTGGAGCTGGGAGTAAGGGTGGAGACTGTCTCAGGAGTGGAAGTAATTAGCTCACTTAACTCAAAGACTAGCCTGTGGTTCAGAATAATGCCAAAAACCAGGTTCAATCCCCATTCTGCTTAAGTTAGACTTGAAACTTGCTAACTTGTGAGTGCAAGACAATGGCAAACAACCACTAACAAAAACTGACAAGGAAATGGTTCAGGATGAAGTACAGGAAAAGTTTTATTAAGTGGCACCTATGGGACCAGGAAAGTAATGGTTGATCAAATATCCTGGTTGATCAAGAGTTCCACAAAATCAATGTAAAAACACACCATGTAATAAAAATGTAATGCTGGGTATACACATCACTGTTATACTTTATTTACAGAATAAATCACTTAAATAATGATGCACAGTTGCCTTAAATAAATCTTAAGACTGAAGCTTTGAGCCTTTTCACTTAACCCTCAACTGACAACTCAGACATTGTGGAGATGGCAATAATACAGTAAACTTACGGTATTTCAGGTATATAATTTTTGCCGGCTCATTGAGAATGCCCCTCATTCAAGGTGCTGGTTAAAACAAAGTTTGCTGTATTAACAAGCAAAAAGTCAAGGCTCGATCTTTGAGAAGAGCAATATGACTGAATGCAAAGCAGAATGTTGTAGTTCAACATTGATAAGTTAACTGAATGGCAAAACTGTGGGGAAATGTGTGTCCGTCCACTTAGAATAGTGAGGGTAGCCGCAGGGTTGATGAGCTGGAGGAATGAGGAGTTTTGGCAAGTGGGAGGATCAGGGAGTGCGATGAGTGGTGAATGGCAGAGGTGACTAGAGAGAGAGCATCAGGTAGCAGAAGGGTCAGCAACTGAGAGAAAGACAGGAAGAGGGTGATATAGGCAGACAAACAGGAGTTTGGAAGAACACAGCAAGCCAGGCAGCATCTGGAGGAAAGGAGAAGTTAATGTTTCGGGTATTACATTATTCAGGATTAGATGTGAGGGTAGGGGGAGCTGCAGATAAAGTGGAGGGAGAGTGTGGCGGAGTGGTGGTGATAGATGGACACCGGTAGTAGGTATGACATTGAGTTCTCTAATTTCAAAAAACCTTCCCACCCATCCCCCGGCTCCCTTTCCAGCCCTGCCTTCTCCCTTCCATTCCACATACTGACCCTCTTTTCCAGCCCCAAGCAGGTCGTACCTACTACCAGTGTCCACCTATCACCACCATTCCACTACCCTCCCTCCCCGCCTGTCTCTTTATCTGCAGCTCCCCCTACACCAACATCCAGTCCTGAAGAAGGGTAATACCCAAAATGGTTGACTTCTCCTTCCCTACAGATGCTACCTGGCTTGCTATATTCTTCCAGCCTCCTGTTTGTCTACCTTGGATTCCAGCATCTGCAGTTCTTTTTGTCTCTAACCAAGGAGATACAGGCAACTTAGCTTATTTCTTTATGTTTTTAATTTATTTTAGTTTGAATGTTTACAAGTGTACAAATTTAGGAATACATATTAGTTTAACCTAGAGGATATGATACTTGAAGTATAAAATAATCCTTAATGAGTAAAGTAAGTGTAAGGATACTCACCTCCAAGAGTTGAACTGTACAAGGGAATAAAACACAAATTAACAGTGTAAGAGCCAGCTAACCACCAGATAATGAATGATTTAATTTGTAGATACTTTACATTTCAGTGACTTTTTTTTCAATCTAGTCACCTTCTTGCCTGATTATCTCTTCTTTAATTAATCATAGATTGGATGGACCAAAGGAACGTTAATTATGGTTTTTTGTGCCCATGTTAGAAATAAACAACAGGAGTTTTATTCTCAACTGGAACAGGTTGGGGATGATTAATTTATACTGAAATTAAAAATATAAGCAAGTCAATTAGAACATAGAGATAGTAAGAACTGCAGATGCCGGAGTCAGAGATAACACAATGTGGAGTTGAAGGAATGCAGCAGGCCAGGTAGCATCAAGGAGCGGGAAAGTTGATGTTTCAGGTTGGGACCCTTCTTCAGAAGGAAGGGTTCCAACCCAAAAAGTCAACTTTCCTGCTCCTCTGATGCTGCCTGGCCTGCTGTGCTCCTCCAGCTCCACACCGTGTTATCAATTAGAACGTAGCTCATTGCAGTCATAAAGATACCATTTGGATACTAACAAGTCAATAAAAACTTGTTCCCTTTTTACTAGAGTTTTCAGATTTCAAAGTTTTTTTATGAAATTAACTTGAGGAAACTTAGCAAGATTATGCAAAAACAGAAGTTGCTGGCAAAGCTCAACAGGTCTGGCAGCATCTATGAAGAGAAATCAAAGTTAATGTTTCAGGTCCAGTGACCCTTCCTCAAAACTGATGCTGCTAGACCTGCTGAGCTTTACCAGCAACTTCTGTTTTTGTTTTTGATTTACAGCATCCGCAGTTCTTTTAGGTTTTATTTAGCAGGTTTATGCTTGTATTTACTGGATATGGCTCCTTAATGGGCATCAAATGCAGTCCCAGGTCCCCCACCCTTCTATAGATTCTTTCCGGTTCTCACTTACCTTCAAGACAAAGCCCTGCAAACTCACTCAGGGTCTATCATTGTGAAGAGATAGAACAGTCAGCCAAGATCCGTGGCCTCATCCATGCAGATAGAAGCTGGGTCTGCGCTATCATGAGGCTGATGACAGCTGCCTGGAGTCCTGCTCCTAGTCTCATTTTTGGGTTTCTCCCAGTCAGGCTCCCTCAATCCCTGCTACTGTAATCATAGGTACCATCTCTAGGGGAGCTGTAAGAGTTTGGAAGAGGAAACTTTTCATTTGAAGAACAGCGGCGATAAGCATAAGAGAGACAGGATCTGTGATTGGAGGCGCTGCTCCCAAACAAACTTTTTCTCTCCCATGCTCACTGCTCTTTGTTTTGAACTCTGTATTACTCTCCCACTATCAACAAAGCATCTGTCACAACAATTTTTCAGCCCCGCTTAGTTTACAGAGGAATAATTATGTAAACAGTTATTGATTTTTCTACCTCCATCTTTTTACGGACACTTGTGAAATTTTGAAGCAAACATGCCCACCACCTCCTTGAACACTGGAACCTAATCTGTAAATATTGTCACCTAAGATTGTGCTTTGATGTCATTACATAACCAACTATATGGAAACCTAATAATTACTGCTGTGGAGGTCAGGTGGCAGCATAATTGATTTGTAGCTGGTATCTTCCAGTTTGCAGCTCACAATCTGAGCCACATAAGCCACTCCATTGCTGCAAACACCAGTCCATAAAAGCTAGTTTTAATAGAGAAGCATATGGCATCCGGAAGATATCAGTTTTAAAGTTTAACACTGCCCAGAAAAACATGCACAAGAGAACACATCTCACATTTAAGTTAACAGTCCTTGGAGAATAGCTGTAGGGATTGGAGTTCAAGAACAGTAATCTTTTTTGTTGATCTCTGCATTTTTGAATAAAAATCTAAAAGACTCTGGCAAAAATGTGTGAGTGCTCATTTCTCAAGCAATTATCCAGAACATGCTTGATTGATTTAACTGTACAGTCATTCAACCTTATTCCACCTCGAATAGACACGTCTGTCATGATTAACACTGATTAATTGCATTAACAAGTATGAAATATTTTGTCTGAACTAAACAATGCACTACTAAAAGAAAGATTTGTGTACTTTAGTGTATAAATGCCTCAACAAAATCTTTAAAAATTTGCAAGCTTAAATGTGACATGCTTTGAAGCTGAATCTTAAACATTGAGTTAATGACAAAAAAAAATGTTTCTGAAAATTGTGCATGTAACTTTATGCATATTTAACCAGGTAACAAGTTGTTGATTTTCTTTGTATTATATTGCGCATCTTTTTGGTTATTGTTGACATGTCTTCATATTCTTTTTATTCCTCCCCATGTTTAGACCACTTCCCAGTGGAGGAGGAATGCACAGCATTCCTCATCATCATTCACTTCACAGGTTGATGTTTGAAAGGATAGCCTATTTTTCTATTTGATGCATTTTTGTGACTGGGCCAAATTGACAATGATTTATTGCACTGTTAGAGTACATTAGGTATTCTTAACACTAGACTGCATTGCCAAATAATGAAAGAATGTTGATAAAAATGCCTTGAGTTTATTTGAAGTAAAGGAGATGGCTGTGATGGAAATGTTTAGTTTAAATTAACTTTGATTTTCTTTCTTTAATTTGTTTAGTAATACTTCATGTTCACTCTGAACTTTAATTATAATGACTTTTCTTGTTTACTTTTATAATGAGAGCCAGAAAACTTGAATTTATAAAATGCTTCTCACATAAAATCACATCTCAAATCATTTATTTGGAAGTAGGATATCAAAGATATTTCCTAACATAGGGACCAAAAGTATAGCAGAAGAGTTTTTGTTTGAAAGCATTTGCAAAAGGGAGAAGCTCAGATGATGGTTCTTGTAAGAATAACAATTGAGCTATCAGAATTTGAAATAAGTCATGAATGGGACCATGATTGCTATTTTAGCAATGAACTTATCTGAGTTTGCTGTTAAATAAGGTGGTTAAAGTTTAGGAAGTCATTTTAGGATTGTACATGCAAGAAATTGCTGTGAGGCAGGCTGGATAACCATAGTGTAAGGCACCAAGTTAGTGATGTATTTAGCCAGACTGCAGTGTAGATGCCTAATTATCATTTTGTTGCTTTATGAGAATGAAGTGTAATGGGGACCATGATGATCAAGCAAGTAAAAGACAGACTGCCTACTACATTATGCTTTCAGCTTGGGTGGCATCATTCAATTTTTCCCAGTGTCGTAATCTTAGACCTAGTGCACCCTGTTTCCAGGAAGTACAAACTATTCAACTACTGAATAATTTGATGGCATCGAGACCCAGCTCTGCCTTTAACTTTATTGAGCAGAGCTTGGAGATCTGTCTCAATGAATCCATGTTCTTCTTCTGTAGTTGTACTATGCCATGCTGGCCTCTAATCCCAGATGGTGTCTGCATAAACATAATTGAGTATAATTGCTGAGATGTGGTAAAACTAAAGCACAGGGTTTCATGCATGGTAAAATAGGAGACAGCATGTAAGAGTCAAAACTAAGCTTTTTTAAAATTCATTCACAAGCCAAAGATTGGCTAGGCCAGCATTTATTGCTCATCCCTAATTACCCAGAGGGCAGTTAAGAGTCAACCACATTTCTGTGGGTCTGCAATCACATGTAGGCTTCCTTCTTTAAAGTATATTAATGAATCAGATGGGTCCCAACAATCAGCAATGATTTCATGGTCATCATTCAATTGTTATTTGCAGAAGTTTATTGAATTCAAATTCCACCATCTGCTGTGGCAGAATTTGAATGCAGGTCTCAGAACGTTACCTGGTTATCTGGATTAGCGGTCCAGCGATAATACCACTACGCCATCACCCCCCACATGTGATCCCACAACCAATAGACCAGATCAAAACTCTGCTAAACTGGCACATCCAGTCATCAATGGTGGCAAACAATTGAAATTAACTGGAAGAAGAAGTGCCCCAACCTCAATGATGGAGTTCAAAAGACAAGCCTGAGGCATTTACAAT